CCTATTTTAATCTATTAGTATACTGACATTATTTTGTAGGAGTTCTATTATAAATTAGTTCGCATTATATAAGCTTTTATAATGAAATGAGGTACGTTGATCGATAGCTCTTTCTTGAGACTATAGATTTAGCATAAGAATAAGTTTATTTCTGAATATATATGTTTTTAAAAAAGAATATTGTATCATTTATATCTGAAGTTGTCATGTCTCATTACTGGTAATGAGATATCATATTTAAAATGATAAAATAGAAACATATTTAATTGTTTTTTTTTAAATTTATTCTAAGAACTTATATATATAATGGAAAATTCTGTCTATATCATATAAAAATATGCCAAAATGAATTAATTTTGCTATATCATATATATATATATATATATTAAATACAAGAACTATTATCTTCAATCATATCAAATCCGAAGAATAAGATAATGATTGCTCTTGACACATCAAAAAGTCGTTTAATTATTTTTATTATATTGGTTACATTAACAATTCCATCAATTTTATGTTCACTCTTTATATTTTATCATTTTTATCGATCACGTAAATTACGTCAACGTATTAACAATCATGTAGTACTTCTCTTATTAATTATAACTTTTATACAGGTAAAAAAAATAGTTTAGACATTAGTTATCTGAAAACTTAAGTTGATATTATAGGTAATTGGTGAATTACCAATAACTTTAATTTTTTTACGAACTGGTTCAGCTGCTGTTTCATCAAAAAAGTTTTGTCAATTTTGGATTATTTTTGATTATATGTTATTTACTGGTAGTTTATGGACAATGGCAATTGCGAGTATTCAAAGATATTATTTGGTCTTTCATCGAACATTTTTTGATAAATATATTATTTTCTTTCATTATGTTCCTCTAAGTTTTTGTGTTATATATCCAATTATACTCTATAGTTTCTTGGTAACTAAATATTCATGTATAACGGATTTTGATTATTCATCATGGACATGTGGAGGTGCATGCTATTTATATGAAGTAAGTTAATAGAAATTATAAAATCAGCCGAGAATCTCTATTAGTTAAACATAAATTAATAGTATGTTTGAATAAACAACGAACTAGGTAATATTTACAAGTATATAGTTCTCAAAATGTTTATGTTCATTTCCGGAAAGTATATAAAATTGCGCAGTAAAAATATTGTTCATGATTTTAATGAAATATTAAAGTATTTTAAATAACTTGACAATTTTTCTATTATAATAATTTGTATTTTAGCCTGTTCTTGGTTCAATTGACTGGATATTTAATGGTTGTGTGAACGTTGTTTTAAGTATTTTAGCAACATCGCTAATTATTACTCGTGTTTTAATTCAAAAATGTCGAGCAACAACTCAACGATCTATATGGAATCGAAGTCGTCGTATAATTATTCAATTAGTTGCTCTTTCTACACTTTATATGTTAGTATGGTTACCATGTGTCATTTGTTTTGTTATTACACTCTTTAGATCCGTTCCAGTTCTATCATCACTTTATATATCTTATCTTAGTTATTATCAATATTTATCAAGTCTTTTATGTCCATTCGTTTGTCTTGCGGGTTTACCCGAAGTAAGACGTGCACTGAATAATATAAAGCCTCTTAACAAACAAATCGTACATGATATAAGACAAGTTGCAGAAAATATAAAAAATCATCGTAGAAATTGTTTGGAAAGTGATTCATAAATATTAAAGTTTTATGAAATCTTTTTTTTCTAGTCATAATAAAAATGTTTGCTTTATATTATCGTTTTAATAATTCGATATATTTTATTTTTTTTATAAATTTGTGAAGAAATATGGTAGAAAACTTGTCAATATATTTAGTCAATAAAATCCTAAATCTAATGAAAAGATAAGTTTTTAGAATAATCAATCTATAGTCTTAATGTCTATTAGATATTATCCTATTTCCATAAATAATAAATTAAGATAATTATAGAATATATATATATTTTAGAGTTGAATTTTCATATCAACATACACACGTACAGATACACAATTGTACACGACAGAAAGAAAAAAGAAAAACACAAAAAGAAATTAGCATACATAATGAACATAAAGTAAAGTATTACATATTCACGAGAGAGAGAGAGAAAAAGGAAATATTTATATTATACATTTAATTTTAGCTAAGCTTGACTTGATTGACTAGTGCTCTCTTCATCGACCATCATTTGAGTATCTTCTGTTGTAGTGGGAGTAGATTCTTGTTGTTCTTGTTGCTGTTGTATTTGAGTTTCTTCTTGTGATTGATCTGTATTATTATTAGCAAGTGCAGCTGTTTTATCAGCAACAATTTGTGAAGCAAGTGTTGGAGCTGTAGCTGGTGCTGGCATCCATTTATGAACACGCATTGATGTTTCATGAATCACAACCCAACGTTTTTCCCATTTTCGTACTGCTTGTGATGTATAGGAATATTGAAGAGCACGTTTAAGATCAGGATCATTAGCATGTTGTCCATGTACTTTACTTCCATAAACACCAGTACTATAACGTGTAGACGCGCCAGATGATGACCCGCCACGGGCTTCACTCCGAAGACGAGGTACTATCATTTGATCTACAAAAATGTATACTATTAATTTGTATGTTTTTTTAAATATTCCTAATTTTTTTCTTTCAAATGGATATACTAACTTGAAGTTGACAGTTAGAAAAATGCAAGCAAGTAGTAACAAGGCTAGACGAAAGAAAGAAATGACTCATCGTGTAAGAAATTATCTATCGATTATTTATTGAACTTATCAGAATATTTTAGTTTTCTTTTTCTCATAAAAGATTTTTTTATAGAAATAATATTTAAATATATTTATAAGTTATTTCAAACATTTTAAATCGAAAAAATTCTATTTACACAAATAATCGATGTTTTATAGATGGCGCTCTTAGTTAGTTTCAAACTTGTTGTCCATAGAGATGAAGATAATAATGTCGATGATCTATCAACTATCAATATAGGAATTTATTTTGTTTGAAATTATTAAACAAACAATGTTTCCACCACCATACGAATTAATCGAATGTATTGATCTATTTAATATTATTAATTCGGAAATAAATGGATTAGCACGTATTAGTGATACGAATTTTCTCTATTTACTTGGTTTGTTTCTATCTTTCTTGGCTATTTCTCAATGCTTTCATATTTTTTTTTAAATTTTTCCTAGATTGTCGATCACGAAAAGAATACGATGAAAGTCATGTTATAAGTGCTACTCATATTCGACGAGTAAGTTAACTTAGCAAAAAAGTATCTACTGTAAATTCTTTACATATCATTTTTAAAGAATAAAGAAGGAGAATATCAAATACCATGGCATGCTGATCTTGAAACACGTGAACATATTGTTCTCTATGATAATCTAACTGATAGTTTACCATTGAATGAACAAGGTATTGATTTTTTATAATAATAAAAGAATAATTAATGAAATATTTATTTTATTAACTTAGATGATATTTATGCATGTGCAAATTTACTTCAACAACATGCTGGTGGTTTAACAATTATTAAAATTGTTCGAGGAGGATATCAATTATTTACAAAATTATATCCATTTCTACGTACTCAACAAAATCTTTATTCACCAAAAGTAAGATTTATATTCAATTTTTTCGATTAATCATATCCAAATATATATACATATTAGGAATTAGAATTAATACAAACATATCCAAGTGAAATATGTCCACAATTGGTCTATTTAGGACGACGTGAACATGCAGTTAATTCAAAAATAGTTAAAGATTTAAAAGTTCGTGCTTATGTTAATTGTACAAAACATGACGATTTCTTGTTAGTCATTTGTTATTTTATATAGAATTTATTTTAATATAATTTGTTTTAGAGTACAAAATGGTGATTCACGTAAAATTTGTCGTGTTCCTATTGATGATATTCATAATGTGGATAATATATTTGAACTTTTACATGATGCTGTTAATTTTATATGTAAAAAGTTTTCTTTTTTTAAAATTACATATTTTAATAATTTTATTTTTCTAGCGGTAGCTTTTCATCGTGGAGATCCTGTTTTAGTTTATTCTGATCGTGGTGTTGGTCGAGCAGCAGCTGTTGTCGTTGCATTCATTTCATTTCATATGAGAATGAGTTCACAAGTGAGTGTAAAAGAGATTTATATAGGAAATATTTCATATTTGTTTTGTTTGTTTTAATTTTGAATGTTCAGCAAGCTTTGAAATATGTTGAAGAACATCGAGACGTACGTCCTCATCTATCATTTATTGATTGTATTGATCATTTGAATGAAAAATTACATAAATTAAAAGAAGCTATGTCAACTGCTAATCAAACATCGACAACTGAAGATAAAGAAATAACACATGAAACTAAAAACTGATCTTCCTTTTATTTTCAAATATATTTGTTTATTTTATCGAAATTTTCTATTGTGTTTATAAGTAAAACAATAAGTTCTCTTTTTTTCTATTCCTAACAGATATATTTCAATAGTATAGATACAAATCATGGAATATAGTTTCATATATTAAAATTTAACATAATTTGACAACTGATGTTGATCACTGTTGGTATAAGCTTGTTTTAACTGAGCTGAATTAAGTGGAGAATTTCCTAGAAGTCGAGTATCTTTACTGAATGATTGTCCTTGTTGATTTAACATACTGATAACCATAATACTATAGTCTATTTTGAAATTAAAGTGGCCAATATCATTTGAATGTAATAACAAAAAAATGAATAATATGAAAATACAAAAATAAACAATGAGAAATAGCAAAATGAAATTTTTTTTTAGCTCAGCTCAGTTTTTTCAATATGGCAAACTACCATGAAGCTCATTCACATGTAAGTCTATAAAAAAAATATATATATATATTGATAATTGAAGCAATATTCACATACCTTCTAAATATTTTAATTCTGCTGTAACACAAGCAAGTTTAACAGCTTTTGTCGTAACGTTGTCGAACAAAGTATTCCATACAATTGGTTGCTCTATCGCGGAGCAAGCCATCAAATTATTACGAGCTTTATTAAGCTCTTCCTCGCAGCGCTGTTGATCTTTCTTAAGATTGTTTAGCTAAAATTGAAATATAAAATTCGAATTAATAATTTTTATAAATTAATACAATTTGAACACTAGAGCTATGATAGATGTAGGTCACAAAATACGATACTTAAAATGTATATACATGTACCGTTTCAATAAATGGATCTATTGCCATTGCTTTTCTTTCTTTAATTCAACTTTCTCAAATTCATATTTTTTGTTTCTTTATATAGCAGATCTTTTTTTTCTTACGGTCAATTTTTCTTACTATAATGCCCCGTCCGATACGAAAAAGCGAAAAATGATCGCCGTTAATTGATTCATGTGAAAATGATCGAATTGTCATTGACTTTGTATTTTACAACTGAACAATAACAGATTTTTTTTGATACATTCATCTCTCTTCCATTCGTTATTTAAAAAACGATCTATTCGATGAAAAATAATGTACAACCATGATGCCTCAGACAATTTTTGAAATTCAAGATAAACTAGTTAATACTTCATTCATCCCATCATGTTTTACATAATGTAAAATTTACATTAGGATTGTTAGGCCTAGATGATGATATCTCTCTTTTCTTTCTTTATTGTTAACTATAAAAGGCGTATTTGATGAAATAAATAAACAGATATATAGCGAACGTAAGATTCGCACGCCACCATCTCTCTCTCCCTATCTATTCTCGAACCTTAACAAGGATACAAAACAAATGTTAAAATAGTGTAGAAACAGAAATAATATAACCTAATAAAATAAGTTATCAAGTAGTATAAATTTATTAGTACATTTGTATTATTGAATTCAGTCAACACAAGTACCGTGCAAAATAAATGATATAAATAAAATGTTTTTATAGAAAATGACATCATTGAATGTACTATTTTATTATATTATTTTGCTTCTGTAATGATACTTGACAAGACAAGTATTTTAGAAAAATGAATAATGATGGTGAAATGAAGCATAAGATATTATTTCCATAATATAATGATTCAGATATTTATAAAAAACAATTACACTTTAAATATAAGATTCTATATTGTAATGAATGTTCTAAAATATATTGCAATTGCTTGGCACTAGGTCTTTCTCCAAGTAATTTATTCCTATGATCTCAAATGATACCACTATCGAAATTTTTGTGCAACATGTTATAATTTAATATTTGAATATTTCAAACTCAAACTTATGTATTAGCAAAATGTTGATATAGACGATGATCATGATTGTAATACATGTCAAAAATAACGTTGAACTTCAACTTTTTATTGACCTGTACTATTAATTTATGATGTAAAACAAATAATAATTATATGATATTAATCAAAATTTCTCGGTAATTGCGCATGTTTTCGTCAAGGTAATTAAATTAAGTGACGGAGAAAAACAAGAAAATTTTCGTCATGATTTGTATATATTGTATTTTCTAAATTAGTATCATCATTTAATAATTGAATATTAGAAAGTACTGAAATTGAATACAATTGATATATATATGTCTAAAAGTAGATATCTCTTTAAAAGATTGAGATTTATTTTTAATCTACTATTATTGACTTAACTTTGACATGACATTATTACTTTGATATGCAACTGGAATGTTTTTCCTATGATTATTTCTAATGATACGTTTTTTTAGAATGTGAAAAAATCATTATAGTATATTTTATATGAAATAAATTGATGTCAGTAATAATTAATGAATAAAAAAAAACGACCTTGAAGAAAATTAAAAAAAGAAGAAGAAGCAGAATTGTTATCTTATGACGTCTTTCTTAAGACAAAAAGATAAGAAGTACTCTGTTATTTAATTAAAAAATAATAAAAGGAAGCAATTTTCAATGCCAAAAAGATAAATCTATTTACTTGTACATATCTCTATTAAACTTAACCAAATATTTTGACATTTAATAAATAAAGACTAAGAAAAATATTTTTATTGATTCATTTGACACGTTGAATAAGAAAGGTTGTGGTCTTCTAACGTGCAATCTCTACTTTTTGTTTTTTACTTAATGTAGTAGCATATTTGTTCTTTTCTTATATATTGATATTTATTTTTTGTCTTTGTTTTCATGTTTGTCTTTTTATTCTATTTGATCAATGATAGAGCTTATATATGAAGTATAAAGATTAATTTTAAACAAAACAACAATAATAGTTAATATAAATTCTCTATAACCTTGTTATTTTTATCGATCGCGTAGTTGAATCTTCGAGTAAAAAAAAAAAAAGGAAAAGAAAAAAAAATATATTTATATAAAATCTAGTCTTTCGTTCTTTGTCACAAGAAACGGAAGAAATAC